AGCAGCATGTCTGTTACAGCATTGTTTGTGGTTGCAATGTGACCAAATGTGAATACGTTTAAGGAGAATGAATAGTTTTGAAAGACACTGTGTGTCTAGAGAAAAAGCAAAACCAAGACAAAAAGGATATGCAACACACTGTTGCTAATAACTTTGATACCCATGGTGTGACATTTTATACCAGGCTGAGAGCAACTCCAAAATATTCTTTTAATTTTTTATTCATGACCTGCGGGACATCCTGACTTGGCCTCTCACTGCTTCGCCCCAAGTCAGATGCGCTTCTGCTCATTTTTGCTCTCTGCACCATTCTCCCCATTCTCGCATTTTTTTTCCAACCTTTAATCAAACTATGTGTGATATCTCGCTCAGCTCCTGCATTTGTGACTGATTACTTATTTGCATAAAGCATATAGAGCAGTGAGGGGGTGGTGGGATGGAGAGGCATTACTGAAAGCATTAGCAGGTATGTGTTTTGATTATGATTAACCATAATTACGCTTTGAAGCAAGACGTGTCCATTTGAGAATTTAGCCTAATTATGCAAATACTGCCAAGATTAGTAAATGGATTGCTTTTCTTCCAAGAACAATTAGTTTAAGATTTATTTTCAAACTTTAACCTATTATGTCTCACTAATTAGCCCCCAAAAAGCCTCTATCTTAATGGTGTGAAAGTGAAATTAGTCAGGAGGTGGTAAAATATTATTTCCACACTGATTGCTTTGAAATGACTGTATGATTCAAGCATTTTAACCAATTTATTTCAAATGCTACCACAATATAATTAATGTGGAATAATGGTCTGAGTTTACAAAAAGCAAGACACTTGAAGGGAATGTGACGGTGTTTTAGGGTGTTGTTAGTTCAAGCCACAAGTTGAAAGGATTCAGAGACTGCACAAATGTCATGAGTAATCACTTCAGATAAAAATGAATATCCTGTAATGTTCCTGCAGAACATCACAAAAAAGATATGCTAGAATTCATTTTCACTTCAAATGGTCCAATTATTGGATTTTTGTATTTTTGTTTTATTAATGCTTATGCTAAATATTGCAGAAACATATTAATATGAGCACAAATTAAAATAAACAGTTTCACTTACTTTTGTTCTGTAGAAATGTTTTGAAGTGCCAGAAATTGTGACACTGACACTTTTTATCCATTGCATAAGTGGGTTGGGTAAAAAAAAAATTCCATCTGATAGTTTACTGCAACATACAATGTTGCTTTTTTCTTGAATTTTCACCAGAACACAGTGCCTCAAAAATCTATTTACACCCCTATTTGCAAAGCAGCTTAGAAAGAGGTTTTCAAATATGCCTCAGGCACTCTAATAAATGTAAGTTTTACTTGACCAAACACGTGAATATGTGATCAAAACTACTACATCATACTAAAAGCTGGAACAGCTTAGAGTTTTAAGCCTCTCAAAGGTTTTGTTTTTCCCCCTAAATTGCTTTACATTTAGTTCCATCCATCGTCCCATTACCTCAGACCAGCTTCAAATAAACTGGACTTCAGTTCCGCCATCATGTTTCTTTAAGAACTGACGAGCCGCTTTAGTGTTTCATGTCATGCAGCATTTCAGTTTTAGTCTCATCATAACAGAGAGATTTCCTCGACATGTTTTCTTAGCCTTTCATAACGTGTGGCAAACTACAAATAGGTGTTCCAATTACTTTTGTGAACACATGCCATCTGCATGCCACTCCCCCATAAAGTCATATTTGGGGAATACACAACAAGTAGTTGTGAGAGGTTTGCAGTGTACTTCAGTCTCATCTATTTGTGAAAATCTTGTGCTCCTCAACATCTACCTATATTATTATATATAATGTTGTTGCTTCTAGAGAGAAAGCTACGTCATGTAAAAAGTCTTGGTCTAAGTGACATAGGAGGATGTCTCTTCCAGAAAGTTTTACTTATACGCCAACTCCTGCCCACCTCTGATGGACCCCAGCACAGCAGAGAACCTCTGCAAGTGGATGAACTCAGAGCTGTTGTGAAAAACTCTGACATGTTGAGAGTGGACAGGAGTGGAGAGAGGACCATCCTGGTGTGATGTTTCTGTCCTCCTAAGCACAACATCAAATCGCCATCCTCCTCAAGAAACAAAATGACGCATGTTTGACAGAGATTTAGCAACCCCAGACACTGACGCCCACCCTGAGCTGTTTCTCACCTGTCAGAGGAGGGCGGATTGTAGCAAAAGTGCAGCAAAAATAAATATGGACTGATATTGGAAGTGGCGCTGCTGTAATCCAAGAAGTGACCGCACTGCATTAGGGTGGCAACCAAATCTACACCCACTTGAGGTTTCTGAGCAAACGAGAGGTTTCGTCTGTACTTCAAGGAAACTCCTGGGATTTAACACATTTTAACCAGAACACAGTTTGATTTGTGATTTGGTGGAAGACTCAATTGAAACAAATTATTTTACATACAATTTAATGTAAGAAGACATTACATTTTTATTCTCATTTTTTTAAATAATAGGCCAAGTAAAACATTTCCTCTTAAGTTAATTTAGAATGACCAAATTTACATAATTAATATTTGCTAAATGTCAGAAATATTAAGAGAGATTATTTTTAAATGGTCAGAAGAATATTTTTATTACTTTCTTCAAATTTAGAGCTTCACATACAGAAAAATGTATTAGTGGAAAGTAACAAGTTTGTCTGTAGTTGTACTTTGTTTACAAAACATACATTTTTAGTTGAGTTTACCCAAAAAATGTCATGTGGGAAGCAGCATCTGAATATTTCAGATGGGAAAGTGACATTTTGGCACAAACAGATCATCCAAAAGCACAATCACTGTAAGCAGAGTGACATATTAGTGCAAATGGACAAAAAAGTCAATTGTTCAGTTGCCATGTCAGCTCTGTAGACTAATTATGGACAGATCTGAAAAGATGTGTTGAGTGTGGCAGCCTAAATATCTGAGAAATGGGTCAAAATTCCAGAAAAATATTGTGAAAAGTTTGCAGAAGATTATCAAAAACAATTTACAGCTTTAAAGATAAATTGTCACGATGTGAAGCTCAGCGGTAGGACCAAAATGCAGCAAAGCGTGGCTCGTGTTAAGCATTCAATGAAAAAACAACTGCAAGTATAAAAGATCCCAGGAGCCAGGACAAAACACATCAACCAGGAGAACACAAGGAAGCACGGAGTAGATGGAAGTAGACATGAGGATCTGACAAATAGTGGAAGAGAATGAGAGGCTTAAATATTGAAGGAGGTTGAAAACTGGATGAAGACCTGAGCTGATGAGGCTTATTGATTGCAGGTGAGATTGGTTAGAGCAGGAGCCAGGCTGAGGGGCACAGGGTAGAAGTATTAAAACTAAAGAAAAACATGATAAGCTAGAAAGAAATGAAAAAAGAAGGGAAACCTATAAAATAAAGGCTTTTATTGGCATTTCTATTTTTGGTACATGAAAACATTTTGGTAGTCCTAGCTGGTCCAAAACAGAATGTTTTGAAATTAGTATTATTATTTTATGTTATCCAAAGAAGAATACAATTATCTGCCTTTCTGTACAGCATGCCGTATTATATCTGGTTTCAGCTGTATTTTAAAAGCAGCTTGGTCAAAAGAATTTGAATCCTTATCCAGGAGGACTCTGTTAATACATATAATTAATGTATATAAAATAGAGCAATAAAGTTCTGGACTGCACTTAACTGATTTAGTAACCTTAGGACTTGTGATAATTTTTTTCTCTATAGTTATTTATTCCAATAACATTTCAACAACCAATACATTACAATGTGCCTCAGGCCATGCAGCTACATTTTATGGATGGATTGCTTCACAATGGAGAATATAAATTCAGAGGTTTGTAACAAAGAAGAGGCTTGAATTGGTGTAAATGTCAAGCCTTAGTTGTTGACAAATAATCAATAAAGCAAGTGTTTCAGGCGTTTGGTCTTTTAAGGCCCGGGTTTATTTCAATAATGTTCAGACTGAGTTCCGCAGCAGAAATGGACGACTGCTAAGAGCTTCACAGTGAACTCACAAAACCCGCTCTCTTGATTTATTGGGTCAGACGTGCAGCACCACATATCAGTATTCACACTCCCTGAATATCTTCGCATTAGCTCATTACAACCAACACATTAATTGTTTTTATTGCAATTTAATGTTAAGTGGAGGAAGATATGTAAATGGCTTTCCTTTTTTATCTCTCATCATTATAATTTTTTTAATCCCAAAGGACCTAAAACAGATTTTTTGTTTTGTTTTGTTTTCATTGCCTTTCCAGGACTTTTGGAGATTTAGTATCAGACAGAAATAAATAAATACTATCTCTTTATTTATGTATTTCTTTCTTTGTTTACTTGTTGCATCAGGCTAAGTTGGGCTCTTTAAACTAATTAGCTGTTTATAAATTACACACACTGTCCCTTCAAACTTAGGCAAGTTTTTAAGTTCAGCAACTTTAACATACTAAGTGTAAACACACTAGCAGATGTCATCTTTAGAACTTCATAATAAATATCTGCTGAGATGCATAAACACACAACTGAACCAAGGTCCTTTTTGACAGGTGGATCCCAAAGTCCCCTCTCACCTTGTTTTTTCCTCTCTGTGTCCCTTTTGAGATGTACACACAGAGAAAGAATTTGTGTGTCACTGAGCCTTTAGCATTGTAACGCTGTGACTCTAACGCTGCGTGTGAGGACAAACTGGCTGGTTTTTACTTTGTACTTAACTACCGCTGTCTGTTCTAAAAAGGATTTGGACTTTTTAAAGTAAGTTTAAACGGGGTCACTGTTTAAACTTTACCACTCAACTACTGTGTTTAACTGGATGTCATGTAACTGAGCTTAAATTAGATTTGATTTTGGGGCACTGTGTTTATGCAATGTGAATGAAGTCCATTAAAATAACTCAACTGTATCACAATTAAGCAGAAGTATAACTATTATTGTTTCATTACCTTATTGTGTCCTTTTTTTTACTTGATAGGAGAGTCAAGAAGATAGAAAACTGCACACTGAAAATGGGGAATGGATCATCATTTGGTAAAGCTCTAGGATCTGACCTTCATGGTTGTTCAGTCTCAAGTGACCAGCTGACTGTGGCTCTGGTTTCAAGCTCTTTTAGAAAGAGCAAACATTGTGAAACACCAGCTGCCACAAGGATTCATGATTATTTGCAGTTTATTCTTCACATGACAGTCTTTGAAAATTTAGAAGAAAATTACAAATACTTTAATGAAACACAAACTGCAATTGTTCTGGACGTGTCCAATAGAATAGAATAGAATATGCTGATCCCCAAGCAGAAATTGATTAAATGGCAATTTAAGCAAAGTTCTCTAAGCTTTACCTTGATCAGGGAGGTCTGCCTTTGAATTTTGATGCTGGCATTATCACCACCAACTGGCTCTATAAAAGTAAACTTCTCCTTTATTGCATAAATCTGCATAATCTGCAGAATTATTAAAACCTGTAACTTTGAGCATTTGTTTTATGTACTTCATAAAACAGATACTGTTTGATTTATGTATTTCACCAAGTCCAAATATATACCAATTTCCCTAAATATTAATAAATCATAAATTTGCATTGTAATAAATTCAGCCAATAAGATGGTGAGAATGCTTACAAGCCCACAAGAGAACTATCGCCTTAGCAATATCAATGATGAATGATGACATCACAAGCTTTTTCATGCATCATACACAAGAATTGTACTTTATAAAGACACACAGTTCCATAGATCTTCACCCACTTTTCACTGTGCGGCTTGTGCGAATTGTGAGGATTTTTCAGATTGTGAGTATTGTGTTAATTGTGCGGAAAACATTGTTTTGAGCAAAACTTGTTTGAGAAAACCAAAATGCCGAAACCAATGGTCTATCACCTCAACAATGAGCTCTTTGACATCTTTCAACAGGAGATCAAGGAGCTGCACCAAGATGTTGAGGCCATTACGATGGAGAAATTCAACACTGAACGTTACTATGAAGATCTTCTCTCAGAAGAGAGGGAGGAGAAGCAGGCCTTGCTTCTGGAAATTCAGGAGCTTAAGGAGAAGCTGGAGAAAGCTGAATCCAAGGACCAAGGCCTGGTGGGCAGAGATGAGACAACGTGCTGCACCACAATGCAGGAACTACAACAAGAAATGAAGGAGATGGAAAAGAAACACCGTCAGGAAATTGAGATGCTCACCATTGAGCTTGAAGTTGATGTCGCTGTGGCTCAGAAAGAGGTGGAGAAGCTCCAGAAAAAGCTGAAGAATGAAAAAGATCTTGGTGCAAATAGTGATTCAGCGAAAAGGGAAGCCATCAAGATTCCCCTAAAATTGTGTAGCCACTGTGAAGAATTGAAGAAAGTCTCCACTGAACATTCAACAGAAATCAAAGTTCGAGATGAGGATATTCCTTATCCAGATGTCCAACTGCTTCAAGAAATGCTTCAGAGAGAGAGAAAGCTGAGGATTCAGGCTGAAAATGAAAATTTTGATCAATTTAAATGTGCTGATGCTTTCTTTGAAATGATGGAGCAAGAACTGAAAACAGAACGAGAACATAGAGCCCAAATTGAGGCGGACAGAGACGAAGCTGTGGAGATTGCAGAGCAACTAATTAAAAAGCTTGAGGACGTAGAGAAAACGTCCAAGGAGGCTCCATCTGCGATCACTTTGTCTGATGAGAAACTCCAACAGCTGGAGAAAACCATCCACGAAGAGAAAGCACTAAGGGTCCAGGCAGAGAATTTCTTAGAAGTACTGGACCAAGAACTAAAAACAGAACTAAAACTTAGAGCCCAAATTGAGGCAGACAAACAGGAAGCTATAGAGATTGCTGAGCAACTACTCAAAAAGCTTGAGGACGTGGAGAAAACGTCCAAGGAGGCTCCACCTGCGATCGCGTTGGATGATCAGAACAAAACTCAGCTGGAACTCCAACAGCTGGAGAAAAACATCCAAGAAGAGAAAGCACTCAGAGTCCAGGCAGAGAATTTCTTGGAAGTACTGGACCAAGAACTAAAAACAGAGCAAAAACGTAGAGCCCAAATTGAGGCTGACAAACAGGAAGCTATAGAGTTTGCAGAGCGACTAATCAAAAAGCTTGAGGATGTGGAGAAAACGTCCACAGAGGATCCAGCTGAGATCACTTTGGATGATCAGAACAAATTTGAACTGGAACTCCAAAAGCTAAAGAAAATACTCCAAGAGGAGAAAAGACTAAGGGTCCAAGGAGAGACCAAAAATGCTGCTCTCTTGAAAACTGTAGAGTTGCTTCGGCAGGAAAAAGACAAAGAAGTGCAGAAAGAAAGGGCTCTAAGAAAAGAGGCAGAAAGAGGGAAGCTGGAGTTGGAAAAGGTAAGTGATAAACTTTACCAGGGCTTAGAAAAAGCTTCTAAGATGACACAGATGCTCTCAGCTGAGACCGAACTCCTTACCAACAAGCTTCAGGCAGAGGACAAGAAACAAAGATCTCTATTCGAAGATGTCCTGGAACTCACCCTCCTGCTGGAAAAGGAGAAAACCCTTATACTCGAGGCAGAGAACTATGAGAAGGAGGCCGTAGAAATTGTAGCGTCTTTACCGAAGGAAGCAAAACATAGAACCTGGAAGAACAAAGATTTGAAAAAGAAATACCATTGCATCAAAGTTTAACCTCTTTAAAGTCGTTAGATTTGTACTTTATTTCATGTAAATAGCTTCTTGTGTTTGTTTCTGTTTTAAATGTTGAAGATTTTATATCATCATTCTATGTATTCAAACTTTAATATAATGTAAATCGCTGTTGATGTGTTTGTCTTTGTTTGAAATGTTGCAAGTTCAAAGTCAGTGTTTCATTTTTATTGTACTCTTTTATTAAAAAACTGCTTTAAAACAAACAGCAAAAACAAAAAAGAAAAGGACAGGGTTTTTTTATTTGACTCTGGATTCAGCCTCTTTTCTGTAATATTAATATCTCCTTGTGTTTGTTTCTGTTTAAAGGTGAAAGTCTTATATCATCATTATATGTATTCAAATTTAATATAATGTAACTTGCTGTTGATGTGTTTGTGTTTGTTTTAAATGTTGCAGATAAATTGCATTTTTGTTATGTTTCTTTTATTTTTTTAAAACTGCTTAAAAAAAGAAAAGCAAAATAAAGGAGGACATTTTTTTCTTTGATTTTGGATCTATTCCACCTCCTTACCGTAATATAAATAGTTTCTTGTGTTTGTTTCTGTTTTAATTGTTGAACGTTTTACATCATAATTGTATGTATTGAAACTCGTAATGTAATGTAAAAAGTTGCTGACTGTGTTTGTCCTTTAAATGTTGCAGGTTCTCTGTCAATGTTGCATTTGCATTACGTCCTCCTTTTTGTAAAAACAAATGCTAAGAAGCAAACAGAATTATAAAACCTGTATCTTTTAGCACTTGTTTTATGCACTTTGTAAAACAGATGCTGTTTGTTTCACAATGACTTGATGATATCATTGTTATAATGTCACAATAATGACAATTGTGATATCAATGATGACATCAAAGTTTAAATTATGAAAGTCTTACATCACAGTTGTGACAGCGGTTGATTCCCTGTCTGTCCACCCATTGCCGTTTGTTTTTCCACTTCACCCACCTTGCCTGCTGATGTTGGTCAGAAGGGCCGATGGTGCAAAGATTTGCAGCCTCACTTCTGTCAGCCTGTAGTTACAATCCAGTAGCTTGCCATCAGCAGAGAGTGAATGACTCCTTTAAGATAAGTCCTTTTTCCACAGCAGGGTGCAGCCTGGCCTGGCCCAGCCAGGCTCCGTTTGACCTGGTCCCATAGCCCTGGTCGTTTTTGCATTAAGTGGGATCGTCACGTAAATCAAATTCCTGAAGAAGCTACAGAGACGATCTCCCCAGCGACTGTAGAAATATTAATCACATTTACCATTAAAATCTTTGGCTGAAGAGGTAATTCTAATCCCAGTGTAGGGAAAGAATAGATTATGACGGGAATTTATTGATGTAGCATTTTGAAATGATAGACATTGAGTAAGTCAAGTGCTCCTCTGACCCAGAGATCTGGTCTTTGTCCCGTCCCCGCAGCCAATGATCCAATCAACAGCAAACTCCAAACCAGCCCGGTCTGAGCAGCCCGGTTGGAACCGCAGCTCTTGTGGTTCCATCAAGCTGGGTGGGAGGAGGCTGGAAGTGCTAATGCAAAAACAATCAGCCCTGCTTTTAAGCCAGACTGGCCCGGGTCAGACCGGGTCTGGCTGTGCAGTGCAAAAGTGACTATAGACACATTCACTCCCTTCAGATACTCCCTTCAGATACATGAAGTGGCCTGGAACATGCCATACAGTGTAATTTTGTTTTGTTTTTATATAAAAAAAAATGTTTAAAAGCAAAGAATAAAAACATAAAAGGAAAAAACAGGGTTTTTTTTATTTGACTTAGGAATCAGCCTCTTTACTGTAATATAAATATCTCCTTGTGTTTGTTTCTGTTTTAAATGTTGAATGTTTTACATCATCATTGTATGTATTCAAACTAGTAATGTAATGTAAAGTGATGTTGATGTGATCATCTTTTAAATGTTGCAGGTAAGTTGCATTTCTACTATGTCTTTTTATTATTAAAAGAATTGCTTATTAAAAAAGGCAAAATAAAGAGGGAAAGTGTTTTATTTGATTTTGGATCTATTCCACCTCTTTAAAGTAATGTAAATAGTTTATTGTGTTTGTTTCTGTTTAAATGATGGAAGACTTACATCATCATTCTATGTATTCAAACTTTACTGTGATGTCAATAGCTGCTGATGTGTTTGTTTCCATTTTAAATGTTGCAATTCCATGTCAATGTTCCAGTTTTATTATGTCTTTTTATTTTAAAAATGCTAGAAAAAAACAAGAAAAATAAGGGAGGACATCTTTTTTTCATTTGATTTTGCATCAATTCCTCCTCTTTACATTACAGTAATGTAAACAACTTCTTTTGTTTGTTGAGAGTTTTCTATCATCTGTCTATGTATTCAAACTGTAATGTAATGTAAATAGCTGTTGATGTGTTTGTCTTTGTTTTAAATGTTGTTTTAAATGTTATTTCTTTTTCTTTTAAAAAAAATTGCTAAAAAAAAAAAGGGGGGGTAATTTTTTTATTTTCTTTTATTTATGTGCTCTTCTACAACATTTCAACCACCTCTGGTTTTAGGGAGCAATGTTACCAGATTTGTATAGTAGACCATGTATGATTCACAACCCTCTACCTCACGAGTTCAAGAAGTACAACCCTCAGTTCAAGGTAACCTCGTAGATTCTTGGAAGCACGTCTGAGGTTTCAGTAGAGAAACATGTCGTTCTGTAACCTCTCTGCTGTTGTTTGCTCCTCAGTGCATTTCGGAGTGTGTGCCCTTAAAGCATCTATCAGGTGCTGTGACAGTTGGTGAGGCTGACAGTAACTGGAACCTTTGTGATAGCGATGTCTGCACTGAGGTACCTTCTGTCCCACCTCTAACCCCCTGACACATTTACAGGAGGGTATTCACTTGGTTATCCCATCTGTGACTGTTGACGCATTTGTACATGATGAATCCTTGACAGTTCTCTCCTATGTTCATAGAATGGCATTATACATTGACTTCACTTTCATAAATGTTTATATTTGTTACGTTATTGTCCTGCTGTACAGAAAAACTGCAGGTTTTAGTTGTGTAAATGCATCTTCTAACAAACATATACATGCAAACGTTATGTGACTCCTGACTCAAACTCTTAACTAGAGATATGCATTGCTGAGAAAAAAAAAAAAAGCAGAGGTAACTAGTCTTCAGCAGCTATCCCTTATTAATAATTGTAAAATAAACATCAGGCCTAAAAACGTGAAATTGTAACAGATTGAAACTTCTGTTTGTGTGTGTTTGGGAAATGATTTTGATGTTGAATCCTGACACACAGCGGACTGTTGTCAGTTGCTATGGATGTAGCAGCTGTCACAGACAGCGAGAAAAAAAAAGTGGTTTTGAGTTGTTCTTCAGCTGTTTTCTGCATTATTTTCCCCTTTTCCTTGTTGAAATATCTATATATCAAGGTTTCATTTAGTTGACGGAATTCTATACCGCGGCATCGTGGCTATGTATAATGTGAATAAATGGCATTAATAATATTACTCTTGATTTTAATCATTCAGTGGCATTGACAATCTGTAGTTTGAAGTCAACACGGAAACTCACCTGACAATCACACGTGCTGATGTAACCGGATCCTTTCTGAGCTGTGCTGGTTTTGTTTAGTCATCAGGTTTGTCTTTGAAATGGGGACTGTAGCTTCCATTTCCACAATTTCAGAATGTCCTCATAAGTTGCTGTCCTGTCATGACCCCATCAAGATATAAACACACACACAAACACAACCAAGAGCATCAGCAATAAATTAATATTTGCCGATTGTTTAGAATGCAGAACATTTCCATACGAGTCAGGCCCAAACAGATGCTCATGAATACAGTTGTAACTTGGAGACCTGTGTGGGTTACGTCTGCTGAAGTTTTGGAAAGCTCAAGGTCACTTGCTGTTTATTTGTTCTTGGCACCATCCTTTTTTTTATTCCAAGTATGGCTGACCCTTTTGTTCAAATGCTTCTGTGCTGACATGTACTGCACATTATTAATTATATTCATTCTTCTCATCTTTTTCTGTCTTGAAAAGGGTACTCCTCGTCATTTTAATATGTATCCTCCTCGAATTCTTTAGACAGCAGTGGTTAAAAAGAAAAAAAAATTCACACTTTTTCAGTGAAAGAAATAGAACTCAGAGCACATCAAACTCAAAGTACTCGCCTTTGTTGAAGAAGAATGGGTTTATTTTTGGAAGTGAGACCACCTGAGAACAGACAGACAAGAGCTACGGTTGTGGATATATTGCAATTAGCTCTGAACTTTTTTTAAAGACATAATTAGTTGATGTCTGCTCTCTCTTGCTCTGTCCCCTCTATTTTTCCTCCATCCCAGCAGATGAAAATCTCTTTGTGAAATAGACGAAGAAAGGAACCAAAAATAACACATCTTCTTGTGATCATTAAAATGAGAAAGTGGAGGAACAGCTGCTTACAAGAAAATAAACACATTAACACCAGCGCTCCACAGAGCGCAATCACAGATGCTTGACAAGGCAGCTGCCTGGTTTTAATTACAGTAATGCTTATGTTGTACCGTGTTTCTTCTCTTATTCAACTTTTCTCCACTGTGTTGGGGTATTTGTAGCACATTGATCTTTTTTTTCTCAGTTTTGCGTCATTAGATAGTTCAGATTAAGACTCACATACAGCTTGAATGAGTTTTCTTGTCAATTTTGTCAAAATTTCATTCAATAGATCGATTCTTGCTTGTTTTTTTTTTTTACATTAACATCTCTCCAAACATAAATGTACAAGCGTGGACTTAACAGGAAAAAGTTTTTCCTATCCTTCAAATTCTTATCAAATCAAAAAAAATTAAAAATTAAAAATCTGTGCTTGTGAACATTAGTATATCATTTTGACTTCAGTTAACATAGAGAATGCTGGCAAAGGCTTTGTGATTCATCTCAGTTATTTTTTTTTGAGTGAAAGACAAGCAATTTACTTTGATCGGATTGGAGATTTGTTGTCCCCTGTGTCTCCAGCCCCGAATGAACAGATGTCCTACATCAGTGTTGGTTCCTTCTTTTTTTTTCAGGTTAAGATTTCTTAACCATGCTGTTGTTGTGAAGCAACAACTGCATTTTATGGCATTAGCAGTGTAGTTAACCCCAAGTCTCACAAGGCATTCGATTTTCTACTGAGAGTCAAAGCTTTGAACTTACAAACTGTATTTATTTATTTATTTTTTTTTATTATTGAAACGCCCCCGCAGAAGAAACTCCAGGTTGGAAAATTGGAAATCCCTAACTTCATCATTAAACAAAGACAAAGTGGCAGCAATTAGTTGTTAATATGCACAAATAGCAGCTTATATCAGTTTAAACCAGTAGCACACAGAGTATTATGCAAATTGAGACAAATGTGTGAAAATATTCCTGTAGTGTTGGACTATTCAAGATAAATAACAATGTTCTGACAAACTGTGACAGAAAATAAGGTGGAGTCACTTTTTTTGTATTTCTTTGACCAGTGTTGTGTCTTGAAGTCCAGCTTTTCAATTATATTAATATTCACATCGTCAGCACCATTTCGTGTGGGACTTTTTCCACATTTGCTGCACTTGGGCCTCGAATTCATCTGATCTTATGTCAAAATCTATTTGAACGGTAAACACTTATTTCCTTTATCTTTCATGAAGGAATGAAGAAATTTTTTTATATAGGAGCACAACAGCAGCAGTTATTAACTCATAGATCCAAAAATTACCATGAGTTGTTGGATTCAAAAGCAGAAGGAGGCCAGAAGTGGTTAGGCATTGTTCTAGATTACCGAAGACAGGATTTGCCAAATAACTATGAATATTAGGCACATTAGCTATTTTAATATGGACTTTATTTTTTTGTACACAGTTGGTAAAAATAAAAATCAAGTTTTATATTTGAAGTTGTTCTGAAGACTGTTAAAATCTGAAGACTGTTAAAATCTTGTGCTTATTGCAGCACTTTTTTGTCCTCAGAATACATGGCCAAACAATGGGAAGAGAAAATGACAAATGAGGCAGAGCCCAGAGTTTTACAGGAATGATTCTTAATTGCAAACAAAGCTGCCATTTAGAGTCCATTGTCCTTCCTGAAAGTTTGCAGACCATAGCACATTGTGTAAAATGCATCCTTCCTTTCTCTCGTCCTTTGTTTTGTCCCCTCCTATTTTGGTGGCAACAGCAGAAGAAGCATTTTGAGCTCTTTTTAATTTCCACAGTAATCAGTCTGTTGCCTTTTTTTCCTTTTTTACAATAAAGCTTTAATCAAACATCTCATGCCCTCTTTCAGAAATGCGTTATTCCGACAGAAAAACAAAAAAACATGCAATTACACCCGAGAGATCTGTCCCTCCTCTTTTCTATACAGCTGCAGAATGGAGGGCAGTCTTACAAACAAATACTTCTTTCTTCTCCCATACGTCTGTGTTAGAAGAAAAGGAGCTTTCAGCTGAAACCTTATGTAATTTTATTCTCATTCTAATTGCTGTCACGTTCAGTCTATGAATGAGCGTTTTGAATGAAATTTGTGTACAGTGTGACCATTCATTTAATTTTATTTTTGTTTTAAAGTGCCATTCTACGTCTGTTTCTCAATTATGCTCTATTTTGTTTTTACATAAAATCCCAAGTGAGGTTTGTATTTGAAATTTGACAAAAAATAAAAAGATTCAGAATTTATTTATTTATTTATTTATTTAATTTATTTATTATTTATTTTTATTTATTTTTTGTTAGACTTCTGAGTCGACCATAAATTACTGTTCTATTGCGTAGGAAGTATTTTACGCATGTAACGTTTACTGTTCTCAAGCTCGTGTCATAAAGAGTTATTTTATCGAACGTCAAATGTGATTTGTTTTACATTTTCGATGGTTTTATAATCGATATCATTAAATCTATAACATAATTGACTAAACGTCGTTTTTACTATGTGATTTTCTTCTTCAAACTCCACGTCATCAGCTTTGACCGAGCTGCCGTGAACATCTCACTGACATGCGTTCTTAGCGGTCTATTCGGATTGGCAGGATCACGAGCACGAGAATATGGGAGACGATTTAGGTGACGACTGGTGGAAGCATGACGGTAATAACATAAACTTTTCTCTTCGTTCGTACGGGATGATGTGTCTAAGTACTGGTGGCATATCCCGGCTGGCTCATGCTGCCACGTGAAATCTGTTACAGTGGCTAGCCTTAGCTATCAGTGCTAAGTGTAGCTTTAGCAACAGCACATAAAGTAACTAGACGAGACGTGGAAAACAGTGAGGACAGTGTTTTATGTTGCTAATTACAACAATAAACTATTCAGGAAAGCTGGTAGTTCAAGTGGTTGGAAGTAGAGGTTGTGCGAAACACGTGTAAGTCTTCAGAGATGATGCTAACACAAACTACAAAAGTTTCTCCAGTGTCGGTTCTCATCTCCTCCGCTTTCATGAACGACTGGGGTTTTTTTCCCCCCACACAGATTATTAGTGCTCTGGTTCTGCTCTTCATATGTTAAACTTCATTTATCAATAAAGGAAGTTCCCTGCAGGCCACTTCTTGCATTGCTCTGAAGCTCGCTGCATACCAATAGATGGCAGCCATGTCGCTTGTGTCCAGCTGGGTGACGCTGTGATGGGAGGAGGATATAGAAACATGAGTCCAGAAGAGAAATGAATGAAAGAAGAGTTTTGTTTTGTTTTTTTTTTATTCAGAGTGGTTTAATACGATACATTATGCCACACACGATCCTCGCCAAAACAAGACACTTGCTGAAAAATAGCAGAACAGACAGGAAAAAGTTACTCCAGTCAAGGAGGTATGATCATAAATCTCATGTCTTTAAGATGGTC